CCCTCTTTGTCATTTTCAATTGACTCTTTGTCGGTGGAAACAGATGTATATAAGACATTTTTGCATTGCGAGGTAAACTGAGACATTAATGGGCTCGCTTGGAAAGCCTCCTTTAATATATGCATCGCTTTTGTTTCCACGGCATGTATATAGCTACTAGCGGCCCGCCTTCGCTTCGCTTCGGTGTAGAGCTGAAGTGTACACTACAGTTTTTGTTCTCAGGCTTGTATTATACACAATGACATTCGTCTATGATTCTTCTTATACCTGCATGCAAAGTCTCAGCCCGATCGGTTTAAAATTGACAAAGTTTCATATAAAGTTGAAACTTTCCCTATTTTATCCCCTTGGGGGTAGAATTGATCAAATTCCTTTCTTAACGGATGCCTACGTCATAACATCTACCTGCATACCAAATTTCAGCCCGATCCGTCCAGTGGTTTGGGCTGTGCGTTGATAGATCACTATGTCAGTCAGTCACCTTTGAGTTTTATATACAGAGTGGAAATTTTGAATGCCACCCCCAGGAGAAGTACTATAAATACTGGAGATAGATAATTTTACTCAGAGGAAACATTCCTTTATTTTTAAAAAGAAACACAACTGCATTCAACGTTTTTCGAAAATTTGCTTTCCACACCCGGGAATCGAACTGGCAAAAATTCGAAAAAAAATGCATACCTCATTTAAATTACTGGTACCAAAGGGGTTGTACGGCGCCCCTCCTGAGACTGGTACCTTACTGGACTCTTTAGTCTGCATTTTAGACAAAAAAATCTTTATTCGTTATTTGAATAAATAAATGACGCCGAAGATAATGAAAATACTAGCTCGTGTAATCAGGTGAGATAAAACTGCTTTTAGTCTTGTTCCAATCAGTTAAGTTAAGATTTCACGCTTTTCCTTCCATTTAATGTTCTAAGTTTGTTAGTAAGATATGATTCCTATGATTGACCCTATCGATCGATGCCATAAAAATACAGTGTGTAATTTTTTCGAATTTTCGCTAGTTCGATTCCCGGGTGTGGCAAGCAAATTTTCGAAAAACTGTGAAAGCAGTTGTGTTTCTTTTTCAAAATAAAGGAATGTTTCCTTTAAGTAAAATTATCTATCTCCAGTATTTAGAGTACTTCCCCTGGGGGTGGCATTCAAAATTTCCACTCTGTATATAATAGATAGTACGTTTTTTGAGCGAGAGAATAGCCAATAGTAGCCTTAGTAAGATTTGCAAATCCATTTAGAACTTAGGTTCAAGCTGGTAAGACAATCTGACGTGGCAATTCCCTATCTTTGCAAATGATTTCCTGAGACGGGAGTAAATTGTTATTGTAGTGTGTGTACTAGACATATGCACACACGCATCTCTCCCAATATATAAACCGTTGTATATCTAATATATGCTCTGTTTGATCGCAATCAGTTGTATTATTTAACGCCCCGAACCGCCAACACTGCATGGCGACCCTGCCAGGATACAATATTTTTGAAGTTATACTTCGCTTTAGCGACCAACTTCATGCTTTACTTTTGTGTTTACCGCACATTAAGAAAATCTACCAACAAAATAGAATCTCTATTTAGTGGGTGCTTACGACTGCATTGTGAAGGCCTATCAAAAGTATTTATTAATCTGGAACAACGGAACCAAAGCGCGATTCAGGAGACTACAGCGCCATCTCTTGACCATTGGTGTAGTAGAACCAAACACCACATCTTTATTTTTTGTAATAAAGTAACAGTTATAGATATTCATATTTATAATATCAAAAGTATTTATTAATCTGGAACAACGGAACCATAGCGCGATTCAGGAGACTACAGCGCCATCTCTTGACCATTGGTGTAGTAGAACCAAAAACCACATCTTTATTTTTTGTAATAAAGTAACAGTTATAGGTATTCATATTTATAATATTTATCCACATGTTTCTAGTTTGTATATTCGGAATACGTGTTTGAGTTTCATACAAGTGCAAATCACATAAATGTTCTAATAAATTATATTCAGTAGCGATTTTAATTGAATATTTTGATTATTTATTTATTTTTTCAAATTAAAACTGAACTTTATTGACTGTGTCCTTTTCCAGACTTTTTATTAATTTATTGTAATTAATTATTTGCATGCAATTAAAAACTAATTTTAAACGATGCCAAAGAAGCATAACTTCTCACGCGCCTACATAAGTACAGGCACCCATTTTTTTTTTTTTTTGTAACCTTTTATCTAAAAATTGTAGCTTATTCCGTACTATATTATTTTCTTTCTTGTAATGTTAGGTTTCATAACCGGATATACTTATTATTATATATTACTTGCATATTATTTTTAAAAGTGATTTAGAATCAACAACAAAAAAAAAAAAAAAATTTTTGGAGTTTACTCCTTAAGACTCGATTTGCATATACAAAGGGCCCGGTATGATAAAAATGTGAGGAGTAAAATCTATCGATGAATAACCTCGTTACGTTTTTGGTGCGCATCCTATGTCGCGCAACTTTGACAAACAAAGATGACGGATTGACATTATTTTTTTTTTTAAAATCTGAACTAAATTTAGATTTTGTTTCTGATAGAGCAATGGGGACAACGAGGTATGGTACAACCATTGATGAGGTATTTTCAAGATTCGTGAACCACGTATCTACGAACGTCCATGTGTCTTATTTTAGTTACCATAAACCACTTATCACTGTAATTAATAATGCAGACCATGTTGATTTAATATAATTTAAAAAAATGATAATAGTCTGATAATAATAATTACATAGTTTTTCAACATTCCTAATGATCCTAATGAATCCTTATGAATAATTTATGCACATCTGAAATTGACTATTGTAAAAAGACTAATGTAAAATATTTCGTCGATTAGTTATAATAAATGTATATGAAATGAATAAATATATATTTATATATGTAAATTATTTTCATTAATTTGTAAATTTACCCTTTCATACAGTATCAATCTTTTTTAAGTTAAATAAACTCTTTTTGCGTCTGCTTAGACTATCGAACTTAAGGAGTAAACTCCAGTCGTGCGTCGGAGCTGACACACACATTTTTTTTTTCCTTTTTACGGGGGAGGTGTAGTGTGTGTACTAGACATATGCACACACGCATCTCTCCCAATATATAAAGCGTTGTATATCTAATAAATGCTCTCTTTAATCGCAGTCAGTTGTATTATTTAACGCCCCGAACCGCCAACACTGCATTATTTAAGCCTCAGGTCCTCAAATTGAAATTATATCGATAGCGATGTGGTTTAATTTAATTACCGCTACTTCCGTGAAATACTGATGAGTTCCCTTCGCCTGTTCTTCTTATCAGCTAGGTAAATAATAATAATAATAGTAATAATAATATATTTGTTTCTTAGGTTTTCACGCACATCACTCATTAAATAAAACTAGTTTTTACGGGTTAATGCACGAAACTTTATTTATTTATTGACGTTTCGCAGCCTTTTCAGGCAAGACCATCAGATACTATTCTGTTCTTTTTGTTTGCATAATTTAACATAAGAAGGAGATAGAAAGCCTCTCTTGAGTTTGTTTCGCCGGTTCTTCTCAGGAAGGTCTCCCAATTTTGGAACCGGTGGTAGTTTACGGTAGTTAGGGTCAAATAAATAAATAAACTCTAAATTACAAACAAGAATTTTAAATAAAATACTTTATTAAGTAAATTAAATAATAAATTCATACATAGACAATAAAATTTTAAAAATCTTCCAAAGAAATAACCGAACGCTCAATATAAGTCTTTCGAAGGTAGCTCGACAATTTTAAATAAAAAATCATTATTCTGACGATGCAGACCTGAAAAGGCTGCGAAACGTCAATAAATAAATAAAGATTCGTGCATTAACCCGTAAAAACTAGTTTTATTTAGTAATAATAATAGTTTATTTTTACACAAAGATAATGATAACATAGCTTATTATCACATAGATATGACACAATTTTGACATAATATTATAGCTGCTGGTACTTAAAAAAGAATATTCTGTGCTATAAGTACCAGCCTCTTTCCAAATTTACATCATTTGATTATTGAATTTTAACTCAAAAACTTTGACAATCATTAGTTTAGGCAATATATATACATATATATGTGTGTGTGTTGTGTGTGTGTGTGTGTGTGTGTGTGTCTCTTTTTCTGTTGTCTAAGTGAATAGTAGAAATATAAGAGTCACTTATGCACCGACTGTTAAGAAGTTCCTCTGTTTCTTCATAATTTAATTTTAAGAGCCAATCTGTAACCATTTCTTTACACGCATGTTTACTTTTGTGTAGTATGTTCAATTTAAATGCTGTTCTGAATAACTGCAAATGAATTCGCCTATCCATTAATTGTCTTACCCATTGGCTAAGATTGGGTTAAACGCAAATCCCGAGCAATCCCATGATCGGCGAGTTGATAACAGTTTTTTCACACTGCCCGCTTGTGATTTGAATGAAAACACTTTTTAGCACAGTTCGTATTTCACATGAGAGAGAGAGAGAGAATCATTTTTATTGACCACATTAATAAATTTACAAAACAACATACAAAAAAATAAGAAAATATACATAATGGAGAAAAGAAGAAAAAAATAAAGTACCATTTGTGGTCAATCAGGACCCTGCCTCAGCGTAATGCTGCCGCAACACATAATTTCTAATTCCTATACGGTCCATGAATGTTACTATACAGTCCGTGAATGTACCTATACGGTCCGTGAATGTTACTATACGGTCCGTGAATGTTACTATACGGTCCGTGAATGTAACTATACGGTCCGTGAATGTTACTATACAGTCCGTGAATGTTACTATACAGTCCGTGAATGTTACTATACTATCCGTGAATGTTACTATACAGTCCGTGAATGTTACTATACAGTCCGTGAATGTTACTATACGGTCCGTGAATGTACCTATACGGTCCTTGAATGTTACTATACGGTCCGTGAATGTACCTATACGGTCCTTGAATGTTACTATACGGTCCGTGAATGTACCTATACGGTAAGTGAATGTTACTATACGGTCCGTGAATGTACCTATACGGTAAGTGAATGTTACTATACGGTCCGTGAATGTACCTATACGGTAAGTGAATGTTACTATACGGTCCGTGAATGTTACTATACAGTCCGTGAATGTTACTATACAGTCCGTGAATGTTACTATACTATCCGTGAATGTTACTATACAGTCCGTGAATGTTACTATACAGTCCGTGAATGTTACTATACGGTCCGTGAATGTACCTATACGGTCCTTGAATGTTACTATACGGTCCGTGAATGTACCTATACGGTCCTTGAATGTTACTATACGGTCCGTGAATGTACCTATACGGTCCTTGAATGTTACTATACGGTCCGTGAATGTACCTATACGGTCCTTGAATGTTACTATACGGTCCGTGAATGTACCTATACGGTCCTTGAATGTTACTATACGGTCCGTGAATGTTACTATACGGTCCGTGAATGTACCTATACGGTCCTTGAATGTTACTATACGGTCCGTGAATGTACCTATACGGTCCTTGAATGTTACTATACGGTCCGTGAATGTACCTATACGGTCCTTGAATGTTACTATACGGTCCGTGAATGTACCTATACGGTAAGTGAATGTTACTATACGGTCCGTGAATGTACCTATACGGTAAGTGAATGTTACTATACGGTCCGTGAATGTACCTATACGGTCCTTGAATGTTACTATACGGTCCGTGAATGTACCTATACGGTCCTTGAATGTTACTATACGGTCCGTGAATGTACCTATACGGTCCTTGAATGTTACTATACGGTCCGTGAATGTACCTATACGGTCCTTGAATGTTACTATACGGTCCGTGAATGTACCTATACGGTCCTTGAATGTTACTATACGGTCCGTGAATGTACCTATACGGTCCTTGAATGTTACTATACGGTCCGTGAATGTACCTATACGGTCCTTGAATGTTACTATACGGTCCGTGAATGTACCTATACGGTCCGTGAATGTTACTATACGGTCCGTGAATGTACCTATACGGTCCTTGAATGTTACTATACGGTCCGTGAATGTACCTATACGGTCCTTGAATGTTACTATACGGTCCGTGAATGTACCTATACGGTCCTTGAATGTTACTATACGGTCCGTGAATGTACCTATACGGTCCTTGAATGTTACTATACGGTCCGTGAATGTACCTATACGGTCCGTGAATGTTACTATACGGTCCGTGAATGTACCTATACGGTCCTTGAATGTTACTATACGGTCCGTGAATGTACCTATACGGTCCTTGAATGTTACTATACGGTCCGTGAATGTACCTATACGGTCCTTGAATGTTACTATACGGTCCGTGAATGTACCTATACGGTCCTTGAATGTTACTATACGGTCCGTGAATGTACCTATACGGTCCTTGAATGTTACTATACGGTCCGTGAATGTACCTATACGGTCCGTGAATGTTACTATACGGTCCGTGAATGTACCTATACGGTCCTTGAATGTTACTATACGGTCCGTGAATGTACCTATACGGTCCTTGAATGTTACTATACGGTCCGTGAATGTACCTATACGGTCCTTGAATGTTACTATACGGTCCGTGAATGTACCTATACGGTCCTTGAATGTTACTATACGGTCCGTGAATGTACCTATACGGTCCTTGAATGTTACTATACGGTCCGTGAATGTACCTATACGGTCCTTGAATGTTACTATACGGTCCGTGAATGTACCTATACGGTCCTTGAATGTTACTATACGGTCCGTGAATGTACCTATACGGTAAGTGAATGTTACTATACGGTCCGTGAATGTACCTATACGGTAAGTGAATGTTACTATACGGTCCGTGAATGTACCTATACGGTCCGTGAATGTTACTATACGGTCCGTGAATGTACCTATACGGTCCTTGAATGTTACTATACGGTCCGTGAATGTACCTATACGGTCCTTGAATGTTACTATACGGTCCGTGAATGTACCTATACGGTCCTTGAATGTTACTATACGGTCCGTGAATGTACCTATACGGTCCGTGAATGTTACTATACGGTCCGTGAATGTACCTATACGGTCCTTGAATGTTACTATACGGTCCGTGAATGTACCTATACGGTCCTTGAATGTTACTATACGGTCCGTGAATGTACCTATACGGTCCTTGAATGTTACTATACGGTCCGTGAATGTACCTATACGGTCCTTGAATGTTACTATACGGTCCGTGAATGTACCTATACGGTCCGTGAATGTTACTATACGGTCCGTGAATGTACCTATACGGTCCTTGAATGTTACTATACGGTCCGTGAATGTACCTATACGGTCCTTGAATGTTACTATACGGTCCGTGAATGTACCTATACGGTAAGTGAATGTTACTATACGGTCCGTGAATTTTTGGAAGACAAAAGTTTTTAGACTAATTATAGAAAATGAAATGCATGAAATAATTCCAATCTTATATTTATCGCTTATTGACATTTTGAATAAACTATGTTAAATTTATTAATGTGACATTGAAATTATTAATGTTTTATAGAAATATTATATTGCATGCCGATAAAGCAGAATATGGTTGTACTGTATTAAAATGTATCTATGTGTACAACTTTGCAACCTGTATTCGCAATAAAGATGATTTGAATTTCAATTTGAATTCATTGGCAACAATATTGGACGATTGAATGGAATTTTAACATCCATAAATGCTTCGAATAAAAAAACAGCAATCGGTAATTTAAACAATAAGGTACATTTGATCCATTATCATACTCTTTACCAGCGTTCGGTACACTTCATACGGTAGAATTAAATATGCTTTTATTTGTAACGCCTGAATGGCTCCCGGGTTTAGAGGGGGCGAACGCGATATCAAATGTAGGATAGGTTCAAAATACTCTCGTCTATCATGAATTGGGTATTCGTTTTTCCGCTCTTACAAGCGTGGGTAATTTAAAGGCCTCTTCAACATATACTTAACATAGGAACAGCATAATTTAGATGCCGGAACTTTTATTTTGAATAGAAAGTTATTTACCCTTTTTACTGCTTATACAGGTAAGTGATTTACGAACATGAGTATGTGAAAACACTTATAAAACAGGCAGGCGGTCGATTTTTAAATAATAAACCACTTCGCAATCCGGGCGAATGCACTGACCAATTATGCTACCGCGGCCCTGACGGACCGCGTCAAAATTCTCCTAGCCATTCTTAAGCTGCAAGGCAGCGCCATCTCTTCGCATTATAGGCAACCCACAATGTCAAATGAATACTTTTACAAGTATTAAACATTTGAAAGAAGAAATAGCAATTATAGTTATATTTTTTATTATTTTTCTAGTTATATTTTCTTTAGATTTAAACATCAAGCAGTTACATGCTTTAAAAATAATATATATAACTATAATTGCTATTTCTTCTTCCAAATGTTTAATACTTGTATTCATATTGTATATATATTATATATATTTAATTGTATCTATGCATGTATATTTAGGGTTTTTTTTAAATAAATATTTAAGTAGTTACTTTTATTGGTGGATGTTTATATAGTTAATCACTTTTTTTTAATATAGCCGCATTCGTGAATTTCTCTATGCCTAAAGGTTGACTGGCAGAGAATGCTTTTAGCGTTAAGTCCGCCTTTTGTCCATTTTTGTAATTGTGGCAATAAAGTTAAAAAAAAAGTAAAGAAATGATGGATCCGAGTCTACCGTACAAAAAGGGGCGAACGTCAAATGTTTGACAGGAAAGTAGATAGAACAGTTTATATGGGAAAAATTAAATTGACGTTTTTAATTATCTTCCTCGCAATTTTTACATATTTTCTCCCTTTTTAAACCTTCCTTAGATCTCCACGAACATTTCAAGACCAAGATAAGATAAATCCGTTCAGCCGTTCTCGAGTTTTAGCAAGACTAACGAACAGCAATTGATTTTTATATATATACTAGCTGACCCAGCGAACTTCGTACCGCCATAAAAAAATTTAATTAAAAAACCATTGTCCAGCGGACAAAATTGTGAATCTAAACCATTCTCAGATCCCCTTGAACACACACAAAAAAATTCACCAAAATCGGTCCAGTCGTTTAGGAGAAGTTCAGTGACATACACACTCACAGAAGAATTATATATATAAAGATAAGATAGAATATAAAACAAAGCTGGCAAGAATTTTAGTCAACTTAAGCTTAGGCAGTTTTGTACAGGTTTTGTTTTGGAGTTTACTCCTTAAGTATCGATTTGCATATATAAGGAGCCCGGTATGAGAAAAATGTGAGGAGTAAAATCTATCGATGAATGACCTCGTTACGTTTTTGGTGCGCATCCTATGTCGCGCAACTTTGACAAACAAAGATGACTGATTGACATTAATAAAAATTTTAAAATCGAATATCCGAATTTAGATATTGTTTCTGATAGAGCAATGGGGACAACGAGGTATGGTACAACCATTGATGCGGTATTTTCAAGATTCCTGAACCACGTATCTACGAACGTCCATGTGTCTTATTTTAGTTACCATAAACCACTTGTCACTGTAATTAATAATGCAGACAATGTTGATTTAATTAATATTTTAAAAAAATGATAATAGTCTGATAATAATAATTACATAATTTATCAACATTCCTAATGATATATTTATGCACATCTGAAATTGACTATTGTAAAAAGTTTAATGTAAAATATTTCGTCGATTAGTTATAATAAATGTATATGAAATGAATAAATATATATTTATATATGTATATTATTTTCATTAATTTGTTAATTTACCCTTTCAATCTACATATATCAGTCTTTTTTAAGTTAAATAAACTCTTTTTGCGTCTGGTTAGGCTATCGAACTTAAGGAGTAAACTCCAGTCGTGCGTCGGAGCTGACACACACAATTTTTTTTTATTAAAAAATTGTCGATACCCTATGAATGTAGTTAAAGCTAAATTACATTATGTCCATAAAAAATAACTTTGTAAATCTCACACGCATTAAATAAACTAGTTTTAACGGGTTAACGCACGGACTTTATTTTTATTTATTGACGTTTCGCAGCCTTTTCAGGTCTGCATCGTCAGAATAATGAATGAGAGTTTTCTTTAGTAGAATAGAAAAGAATAGAATATAATTTTATTAACCCTCATATTACAGATATTACACATTTACAGATAAAAATAAAAAAAAAGCTCAGGGCTAACCAAGACCCTGCCTCAGCATTAGCTGGTGCGACATTGTGCACCAGCTAATGCACCAGCGCTGTTATTCTGGCAGAGCCTGCTTAGTGACACAAAAAAAGACATGTAAAAAAATTTTATTACTTGAAAGGATGTCTGGACTTAACATCCTTTGCTTTCAAGTAACAAAAAATTAAGATAAATAAAAGTCAATCAAAAACAGCAAAAAACACTGGACTGCAGGTCTACTCTTTAGATATAAAAGGCGGGGTTATAATTACTAACATCACTGTGTGAATGGCATCGACTGCATATGCCGGACTAACGGGTTAAAGAGACATGACTCCACCCCACCTGATGTTAAGTGAAGGTGAAGTCCAGACGCGAAGATAGCTGATACAGCAGTTCTACCTGCCACACCAGCCATCCCCACCCTGCCGGCCTGCATGTTGCTTCTTCACGCCTCTTTTAAAGGATCCCAGGTTGTAAGAGGGAGGGAACACGTCAGCGGGCAGAGCATTCCATTAACGGATAGTGCGACAAACAAATGAGTCACCAAATTTCTTTGTACGCGTTGGAATTGTGGCCACAGTTAGACGGTGTCAACGTAGGCCAGCGCGCGTGGCCCTCCGAAGGAAAGGGGAAGGTGGGATATGAGAGAATAACTCCTCAGAACACTCGCCGTGGTACAGACGATAGAACGCGCTTAGTGATGCCACGTCACTGCGTTATTTGAAGAGGTTCAAGGTGTTTAGTCACCTCCTCATCGCCTACGCTGTAACCTATCCAAAGCATCGAGTCAAGTGCGAGCAATATTCCACGCAATACCGTACCTACATCTTGTACAACAAGCTCAGTTGCTCGGGCGTAAAAAACGAAGCATCTTGTTCAGGACTCCGAGTTTGTGTGAGGCCGTTTTTACCACGCTTTCGATGTAATTCTTTGGATTTAAGTCACAGCGAATTTCCATAATTAGTGATGTGATTATGCTCCCTAGCTCCAGTCTTGTGCCCTGAAGAGAAGGAAATGAAAGGAATGGCGATGTTTTTGACGTGAAAGCGCAGACCTGGGTTTTCTTAGCATTGAACTCAACCAAGTTCTTGGTACCCCATTCGGAAATGTCATCCAAAGCCTGATCGAGTTCAATGTCAAGATTATTCCGTTTTTCCTTGGATTCCTTGGATTTCTTGCTTGGATGAAAATATTTAAGAGAATCGACAGAAAACAACGATATAGGGATATTAAAAAAAAAAGTATACCTACTTTTGAGGATGAGATAATTGGACATTGAACTTCAATTATGGATCAGATTCTTTAAAAATATGAATCTACTATTACTAAGTACTATTCGTAAGTGGATTTCTTTGCCCGCGCAGGTGTTCCCTCCTTCCTACAATCTGGGGTCCTTTAAGAGAAGCGTGAAGAAGCACTTCTGCAGGCTAGCAAGGTGAGGATGGCTGGTGTGGCAGGAAGAACTGCTGTACCAGCTTTCTTCGCGTCTGGATTTCACCGTCACTTAACATCAGGTGGGGTGGAGTCATTTGCCGGACCTATACATATAAAAAAAAATGGGTGCGTGTACTTATGTAGGCGCGTGAGAAGTTATCCTTCTTTGGCATCGTTTAAAATTAGATTTAATCTGGAAAAGGACACAGTCAATAAAGTTCAGTTTTAATTTGAAAAAATAAATAAATAATCAAAATATTCAATTAAAATCGCTACTGAATATAATTTATTAGAACATATGTGATTTGCACTTGTATGAAACTCAAACACGTATTCCGAATATACAAACTAGAAACATGTGGATAAATATTATAAATATGAATACCTATAAAAACTGTTACTTTTTTACAAAAAATAAAGATGTGGTTGTTGGTTCTACTACACCAATGGTCAAGAGATGGCGCTGTAGTCTCCTGACTCGCGCTTTGGTTCCGTTGTTCCAGATTCATAAATACTTTTGATATTATAAATATGAATACCTATAACTGTTACTTTATTACAAAAAATAAAGATGTGGTTTTTGGTTCTACTACACCAATGGTCAAGAGATGGCGCTGTAGTCTCCTGAATCACGCTTTGGTTCCGTTGTTCCAGATTAATAAATACTTTTGATAGGCCTTCACAATGCAGTCGTTAGCACCCACTAAATAGAGATTCTATTTCTATTTTGTTGGTAGATTTTCTTAATGTGCGGTTGTGTTACAGTGTTGCGCGCGCATCTTAAAATTTCACTCTAATTATTTTTTCATAACGCGCCTAAAGAAGTATAACTTCAAAATTTTTTTTTTATTATTGATTTATCTCTTTAATGTTATGTTCATTAGTGCAAAGCGGAGAGGGATAGACGGATCACTAGTATCTTTATAATTAGGAGATAAGCACGGAGCGTGTACTATCTCCATAATTTAGATACATTTAACAATATAACATGTCTGTAATAATCTATAATTAATTACCTGAAAATTTAAAAAAAGAAAGAAAATGACAATGTATTTATTAAAAAAAATAAGCTAATGCTATTATAGCCTCCAGGAATACCTAAATGATAAAACTACTATGGAATAAATATATTGAATACTATATTATTTTTATTATAAAAAGATATAATACAATACTTAGGAGGAGGAGCTCGATGGCGCAGGTGGCTAGCGCGTTTGGCTGCGATCGTTGAAGTTAAGCAACTTTCGCAGTGGTCGGTCATTGGATGGGTGACCAAAAATTTACTATCTCGAGCTCCTCCGTGCTTCGGAAGGCACGTTAAGCCGTTGGTCCCGGCTGCATTTGCAGTCGTTAGCACCCACCAATCCGCACTGGGCCCGCGTGGTGGGTCATGGCCCAATCTCCCTATTCCATCCATAGGGAAGGCCTGTGCCCCAGCTGGGGACATTAATAGGCTGATGATGATGATGATGATGATGACAATACTTATATAATTAATAATCGTACAATTAAATCATAAATCTAATTATACAATATCATATTGGAGTAGTATGAATAAATATTTTTTATGGGTTTTAATTCATTGGATATAACAAATTATATCACAATAAGGAATTATGAATAAGACGCCCTCTCCTCTTCCAATTGCGATACCCTACACTACAGGGTCCATAATGCACTTTTTATCTGTTAATATTACCACCTTTGTATCTCCATTATGGTCTGCAATAAATGAATTGAATTGAATTGAATCATCCCCTCGCAACCACCCATTCTATCGCAAATTACACACAGCAAGGTTATGTCATTAGTTCACTAAATCAATTTATATTGTATATTTAATTTACAACAATATGGTGCAATATGAATAAATAAGAATAATTAAAACAAAAAATATATCATAACAATGAACCTAAAACTAAAAACCTTCAAAAATAAAATATAAGAACTAAAATACATTATTAAAAGGAGTCCCTTTAGGCAAGGTTCCGAAGATACTGGCAGCGTTCCCCCTTTGGATAGCTAGACTAATTCTTTGTCCGAGGTAGCTGCCAGCTCTTCGGTCTCCTGTGATGTCGACTAATCTTTTCGCTATTTCTTTAAAAAGCCTTATAGCGCTAGGACCCCACGGACCAAGGGTTTCGACACCGAATGGGACAAAATTATATAAATAAAATTAATTATTATTGACTAAATCAATTATCTCGTAAAATTATCATTGTCTAAACGTAAATTTCACTAGCTTATATGATACATGTTATTGTCAAAAACTGAATGTTGATAAAATAACTTAGGTTACAGGTAATCTATTGGTACTTTTCCAGGTCTTTGTGATCGCTTCATCACTACATAGTATAAAACAAAGTCGCTTTCTCTGTCCCTATGTCCCTTTGTATGCTTAAATCTTTGAAACTACGCAACGGATTTTGATGCAGTTTTTTTTAATAGATAGAGTGATTCAAGAGGAAGGTTTATATGTATAATACATGCATAATATAGTTTTGATAATTTTAGAGGTTTTTAATATAAGGTCGTAAATAAACACATTTTTTTGCGCTTACATTGCAAACGCTGGCTGAACCCAACGAGATAGATCAAAATAATGTACTACAGTATTGTACACCTTAAAAATGTCTACAAAAAGTCCGCAATGGTATATGCCTATCTCTTTGGTATAACCCACAATAACCATTTTTTAATTACTTATTACGAGAAAATAATGGCTTATTTACGAACAAGCGATTTTAAGCAATACAGCATTAATCCTTATCCAATTATAAACATAACCCTCTACAGCATGTAATTTAAATGAATATTTTCGAAGATATTACAGACATAAAATGCAGGAACATACCGGTTCGGGCAGTACTGGCCGGGAAGCCGGCGGCGGCGCGTGTCTTTAGTAATTAGGTATTTAAAGAAAGTCATTGTGTTTAATAGAAACCTGAGAACAAAAATATAATCTGAACTACAGCTCTACACCGAAGCGAAGCGAGGGCGGGCCACTAGTATACTTATAAAATCCCAAGCAATATCCAAGAGTTAACTAAAATAAATTGAAAGGTACTTTTAAAAAGCACTTATTAAAAAAGCTTATTACAAAGTGTCTGATATTACAGACAAAAATGCTCGGGTTTGAATTGTTCCAATTCAATTCAATATTCAATATCGTTTATTCAGTCTAGCCTGTTACAAGCACTTGTGAATGTCGAAAAGCTACGCCATCGGTTCGCAAATCTACGGCGGGAGACCTTGTACTGAGAAGAACCGGCAAGAAACTCAGCAAAGGCTGCTTTTTTCTCCCTGTTTCATTTCATACAGTGTCGTCCAATTGAAAGTTGACATCAAACTTGCAAACATGTGTTGAGGTCAACTTCCATCACATAATGACAAATATGTAACAATAGACAATCAACGAATTTACTAACAATAAGTGCAAAGATAAGTCCCAAAATAGCTAATTATTCCAAAAGGTTTTCTTTATGAAATAAATCATGATTGTATTGACGTTGTAACAACAGAATGGTTTGTAAATGTTGTTGCATTATACTTTTAATGTTGTGGAGATTATTTTGCTCGCTTTTCTCCGCAGCTAAAAGTATGTCCAATAACATTTTTTGGACGATACAAAAGAGTTGTACTTTACATCCAATTTGAATAGAGATTTATATATATATATGATTAAATAAAACTATTTTTTACGGGTTAATGCACGAAACTTTATTTATTTATTGACGTTTCGTAGCCTTTACAGGCTTCGTCGTCAGAAAGCCTGTAAAGGCTACGAAACGTCAATAAATAAATAAAGTTTCGTGCATTAACCCGTAAAAAATAGTTTTATTTAATGAGTGATGTGCGTGAAAACCTAAGAAACAAATATATATATGATTTCTGATTTATAAGCTGTCTGTGTATAAAATTGTGTCTAAATCCGTTCAGCCGTTTTTGCGTGATTGAGTAACAAACAAACATACAAACTTTTACATTCATAATATGAATACAATTGACAGATTATCTACATAAAAAAACAGCGTGTGTACAGAGTACACCTCATAACAGGAGTGAAACGAACTTTCACAATATTAATTACCTAAAAATGTTTATTAACATAATTACATACATTTAAAAACGTAAAATTAAAAAAAAAATATAGTCTGATATTTCGTTGGAATAGGTACTTACATGGTGTGTAAGTTTTTTTAACAGATGGAGCTGTTCATACATCTACATCGCGGTATGGTTTGGTATAAGGGCCTTCATATATACGTACAAAGTTTTGAATGCTTGGTGACTAAAAATTTATTATAACTATTCGTTCTTTAAAATTTTAAATAGTCACACTAAAATCTGACGCTCAAATCGTGACGCGGCCTTGAAAAGTTAGTTTAGTTAAGTAATCAAGTTAGTGTAGTGGAATTCGACGACCTCCATGGCCTAGTGGTTTGTATGCCGGGTTTCATGGCGTCGCCGACTCGAGAGGTCCCGGGTTCGAATCCCGGTGGGGGCAGATGTTTGTGTGATGAACACGAGCATTTGTACTCCAGTCATGGATGTTTAAATATGTATTTCTATATAAATATACTTATATATGTAAAGTATATGTATTCTATCCGTTACCCTAGTATCCCATAACACAAGCCTTATAGTGCTTACTTTGGGGCTAGGCTAATTGGTGTGAGTGTTGGAAATATTTATTTATTAGAATTAGAATTTATTTATTTGCATTAGAATAGGGGTACACTGGAGATGTTACAAATATAAAGTTCGGCCCATTCTGCCATTTACATCATCATCATCATCAGCCTATTAATGTCCCCACTGCTGGGGCACAGGCCTTCCCTATGGATGGAATAGGGAGTTTGGGCCATGACCCACCACGCGGTCCCAGTGCGGATTGGTGGGTGCTAACGACTGCAGATGCAGCCGGGACCAACGACTTAACGTGCCTTCCGAAGCACGGAGGAGCTCGAGATAGTAAATTTTTTTTGGTCACCCATCCAATGACCGACCACTGCGAAAGTTGCTTAACTTCAACGATCGCAGCCGAACGCGCTAACCACTTGCGCCATCGACCTCCTCTGCATTAATTACATTAATATTATTAATAATCATTAAGCCATCAATTTCACATACCAATAATAAATTCTTAAAATACTACAAAAAGCGAATTACATTATATTATCGTCAGCAAAATTACAAATGTCAGTTTAGTCTTAATTTATGTCAATAAAATAAGATAGTCGATTAATAATGTCAATTATAGAATAAAATGGCAATCAAAATTCAACAGGATAAAATGTCAATCAAAATATTTTTTTTATATTTTTTTTTAGACACACTCCAATTAGCCTAGCCCCAAAGTAAGCACTTTAAGGCTTGTGTTATGGGATGCTAGGGTAACGGATAGAATACATATACTGTACATATATAAGTATATTTATATAAACACATATTAAACATCCATGACTGGAGTACAAATGCTCGTATTCATTACACAAACATCTGCCCCCACCGGGATTCGAACCCGGGACCTCTCGAGTCGGCGACGCCATGAAACCCGGCATACAAACCACTCGGCCATGGAGGTCGTCGAATTCCACTACACTAACTTGATTACTTAACTAAACTAACTTTTCAAGGCCGCGTCACGATTTGAGCGTCAGATTTTAGTGTGACTATTTAAAATTTTAAAGGACGAATAGTTATAATAAATTTTTAGTCACCAAGCATTCAAAACTTTATACGTATATATCAAGGCCCTTATACCAAACCATACCGCGATGTAGGTGTATGAACAGCTTCATCTGTTAAAAAACTTACACACCATGTACGTATATGTAAGTACCTATTCTAATGAAATATCAGACTATATTTTTTTTTAAATTTTACGTTTTTAAATGTATGTACACTCGGCCACGGCGGTCGTCAAAAGAATAGAATAAAATACACAATAGAATAAAAGAAGAAGTAGAAGGCTAGAAGTAGCCCAAATCGTCCAGCAGTGGACTAGGATAGGCTGTTGATGATGATGATGATGATAATAAAAGCTAGTGATAACTCACCGAACAGCAGCAGTAGTAGGTCGCTCAACGCCAAACTGAACAAGTAATAGTTTGTGGCTGTATGCATAGCCGGGTGTCGTACTATAACCACGCAGACCGCTGCGTTTCCTGCCACACCAGTCAGGAATATGACCAATAAAACGGCAGATATAGGCACGATCTCCTGCAGTGGTAGCCTGCGTGGACCCATCATCCACCACAGCATCTCCTCTTCGCTGCAGTCGAAGTAGCTGAGGTTTGTGCAACGTTTATAGAACTGATCCATTGTCTCGTTGGTGCGGAGGAACCCGTCAGCCATTTTGATTTTGTATAGTGTTATTTATATGATTTCTAATTCACCAAAGGAAACATGATTTTTTTTATTAACTTAGAATTCCAGTTAGTATGTTGCACTGTTGTTTTAATAACTATGTTATAGTAAATGCAGTCAATCTTTATTTTATACTCACTTTTAAATATTTTATTATTTACTGATGAAATTTTGGATTGTTGTATGTTTTAATTTACGTTTATCAAAATACACAGAAACACTATTTTATTCACAAATATTTATACGGAATTCCTTTTTCCGCTAAAACGCTAAAATTCAAATAAATCTATTTTTTATTTCGCTAAATTCACTACGTCGCGTCGCGTCGCGTCGTATTAACTTTCGCAAAGTTCGTAGCTGCTACGAGACGTCGCTACACGCTACGACCGTCGGCTCCCGTAGTCAGGAGACTACTGTCGGAGACGGCTTCGGCATTGTGGGATACATTTTGCTCCCCACGCACGGCGTACGATCAAAGGGGGTAAAATTGGGTGGGCATTGTTATTTTACATGCTAATTTAAGCACCTACTTTCAACGTGGTAGATCAACAAGAGTGTAATAAATTTGATATATTAAAATACTGTATTGTGTACGAATATTTTTTTTTTGAAGTGAAAATTATTTCGCGTTTGGGTGTAAATGAAAAAATCATTATGGAAACGATGAAACGGAAATGTCACGAGCGTTACACATTATATATATATATATATATTTCACCAATTAGCCTAGCCCCAAAGTAAGTACTATAAGGCTTGTGTTATGGGATGCTAGGGTAACGGATAGAATACATATACTGTACATATATAAGTATATTTATATAAATACATATTAAACATCCATGACTGGAGTACAAATGCTCGTATTCATCACACAAACATCGGCTCCCAGCGGGATTCGAACCCGGGACCTCTCGAGTCGGCGACAGCCATGAAACCCGGCGTACAAACCACTCGGCCACGGAGGTCGTCAAATATAGGTATATATTTTCCGTCTATATTATTCTATTTCCGTTTCCGTTTTATATATATATTAGACTTGCAACGAATAGTATATTCGGCAGTATACAGAATACCGAATATTCGGCGAGGCCCCTGACCGAATAGCCGAATATTAGGCAAAAGTATTCGGCTGGATTTTAGCGCCAAAAACTTGTACAGACGTGATTGTATCGCGCTCCTTTGCTTGCAGTGCCATTCAGTCAAATGCAGTTTCAACAGAAATGGATCTTTTCTTAAATATTAGTAATATATCACGTCATAACAACCCGTATACATGGTGGCAGCAAGAAAATTTGAATTTCCGTGTTTGATTAAGATTGCAGCAAAATATTTGTCGGCGCCAGGAAGTAAATTAAAAAAAAATGGGTGCGTGTACTTATGTAGGCGCGTGAGAAGTTATCCTTCTTTGGCATCGTTTAAAATTAGTTTTTAATTGCATGCAAATAATTAATTACAATAAATCAATAAAAAGTCTGGAAAAGGACACAGTCAATAAAGTTCAGTTTTAATTTGAAAAAATCAAAATATTCAATTTAAATCGCTACTGATTATAATTTATTAGAACATATTATGTGATTTGCACTTGTATGAAACTCAAACACGTATTCCGAATATACAAACTAGAAACATGTGGATAAATATTATAAATATGAATACCTATAACTGTTACTTTATTACAAAAAATAAAGATGTGGTTTTTGGTTCTACTACACCAATGGTCAAGAGATGGCGCTGTAGTCTCCTGAATCGCGCTTTGGTTCCGTTGTTCCAGATTAATAAATACTTTTGATAGGCATTCACAATGCAGTCGTTAGCACCCACAAAATAGAGATTCTATTTCTATTTTGTTGATAGATTTTCTTACTGTGCGGTAAACTCGCTAAAGCGACCAACTTCATGCTGTTAATTTTTGTGTTACAGTGATGCGCGCGCATCTTAAAATTTCACTCTCATCATTTTTTCATAACGCGCCTAAAGAAGTATAACTTCAAAAAAAAAAGTAGTGTTTATTCAGAGCGCCTTTGCTCTGAAGCTGGGATGGTCTTCGAGAAAAAAAGAAGTAAACTTCTTCCTAAAAATGCAGAAAAGTTAGTCTTTTTGCACCATAACCTTCCTCTTCTAATTTTTAATTATGAAAATAATTCAAATGCATACAAAAATTCTTAACTTGTTTAATACAGAAAATGATCAAATTATGTACCTGTTTTATGTACCAATGACTACTTAATAAATGATTATAAAAGAAATGAGAACATTACCCTTCTAAATTTTGATTACCACGATAATTCAAATACATAGAATCCTCCATTTTTCCATTTCAGAAGATGATTATGTACCTGTGTTATGTACCAATGACTACTTAAATGATTATACCTATATAACATAAATGAAAATTTGAATACGTAAAAATGTATACGTAATCAATCGATTTTAATTTTTCATTTTACCAATTATTTCTCTATGACAAAATATATTATTTAAGTATTCGGTATTCGGCCGAATAATATGTAGATATTCGGTATTCGGCCGAATATAATAAAAGCAGCCGAATAGGCCGAATACCGAATAGTAACCGAATATTCGTTGCAAGTCTAATATATATATATATAATGTGTAACGCTCGTGACATTTCCGTTTCATCGTTTCCATATGATTTTTTCATTTACACCCACTTGCGAAATAATTTTCACTTCAAAATATCTATCTTATATATAAAATTCTCGTGTCGCGGTGTTTGTGGTTAAACTCCTCCGAAACGGCTCGACCGATTTTCGTGAAATTTTGTGTGCATATTGGGTAGGTCTGAGAATCGGACAACATCTATTTTTCATCCCCCTAAATGTTAAGGGTACCCCCCCCCCCATTTTTTTTTTTTAATTTTAGATATTTTTTTTTTTTATTTTTTATGATACATCATATAAAAATAAATACAACCCTAAATTTTCACCCTTCTACCACCAACCCCTATTTTTTTATGGCGGTACGAATTTCGCTGGAATAGCTAGTATATATATATATATATATGTGTGTGTGTGTGTGTGTGTGTGTGGGATGCGTGCGCAGCTCTTCCTGACGAGCATGAAAGATGGAAGGTAACTCGACGATGGCTGAAACGCTACGAGCGTCACGAGCGTCACACGCGGCAATGATTATATATACATATAAGTGATGCGTGCGTGCATACGTGCCATTCATTGCTTTAAGCACCGCCTTATGTTAGATTTTTTAAGAAAAGAAGTTTTAATTCAGATGTGTGGTCCTTGCACACAAATATTGTTTTTCCTATCCTACTAATAAATAATATATAAGTGGAGCTCGATGGCGCAAGTGGTTAGCGCGTTCGGCTACGATCATTGAAGTTAAGCAACTTTCGCAGTGGTCGGTCATTGGATGGGTGACCAAAACTTACTATCTAGAGCTCCTCCGTGCTTCGGAAGGCACGTTAAGCCGTTGATCCCGGCTGCATCTGCAGTCGTTAGCACCCACCAACCCGCACTGGGCCCGCGTGGTGGGTCATGGCCCAAATCTCCCTATTCCATCCATAGGGAAGGCCAGTGCCCCAGCAGTGGGTACAATAATAGGCTGATGATGATGATAATGATCCTACTAATATTATAAATATGAATGTTTCTGTGTTTGTTTGTTACGCTTTCAAGCCTAAACCACTGAACGGTTTAGATGAAATTTGGTATGCATATAGCTCATGACTTGGATGGATGGTGACATAGAATACTCTCCTCCTTAGGTTCCTGTGGTATTCTCAAAACAACCAAAGTTAAGTAATATTGAGTTAATTTAATCTCTTATTTATTAGACAAGTCCCTCCGTCTGTGGTGCTGTTTCAGCGGCCAAACCGTAAGAGATAGATAAAGAGAATATTTCAGTTATATGTTAAGAATAGTCTGATAAGACTACAAACCGGATTTGAGTAACGTAGCACTTCCGGTTTTCGAGAAATCAGGTTGTGGTGAACATTTGGTTCACTGGTTTGCTAGTTAAGTACTATTATATTCAAATTCAAATTCAATTCAATATCGTTAATTCAGTCTAGGCTGTTACAAGCACCTGTGAATGTCGAAAAGCTACGCCATCGGTTCGCAAATCTACGACGGGAGACCTTGTACTGAGAAGAACCGGCAAGAAACTCAGCAAGGGCTGTTTTTTTCTTCCAGTATTATATACAGAGTCGTCAAATTGAAAAAAGACTTCAATATGATATAACTCATAAAGTCACTTTCCATTACAAATGTAAATGATATAACAATTATGTCTATAAAATAAAAAAATATAAAAAACAGATTGAAAAAAAGTTTAGGAATGCCGTGTAACAATAAAAACAATTTGACGACCTAAGTGGCCGAGTGGTTTGTACGCCGGGTTTCATGGTGTCGCCGACTCGAGAGGTCCCGGGTTCGAATCCCGGTGGGGGCAGATGTTTGTTTGATGAATACGAGCATTTGTACTCCAGTCATAGATGTTTACTATGTATTTCTATATACTTAAATATGTACTGTATATGTATTCTATCCGTTACCCTAGTATCCCATAACACAAGCCTTACATTACAGTGCTTACTTTGGGGCTAGGCTAATTGGTGTGTGTTAAAAAAAAAAGAAAAGTAAAATACAACGATTAATAGTACCCAACGTAGCAAGAGCAAACTCATCTCGGCTGGCAGCACCCGTTCACGAGCATGACGCATGAACCAGCCATAGCTTCGATCAACTATATTTTAGGGAACGCCACGACACTGACACGCTTGTAATGCATTTTACAAAATATACATATGTCAATACTAGCGGCCCGCCCTCGCTTCCCTTCGGTATAGAGCTGAAGTGTAGACTACAGTTTTTGTTCTCAGGCTTGTATTATACACAATGACATTCATCTATGATTCTTCTTATACCTGCATGCAAAGTCTCAGCCCGATAGGTTTAAAATTGACAAAGTTTCATACAAACTTTCATTCCCTATTTTATACCTTTGGG